TTAACACATTTTTTTGGTGTTGACCAGATTCGAACTCATCAACTTTGTACTAACTCGGGAAAGTCTAATAATCGTACTAGTGTAAGAAATAATTTATATGTCTATATATGTGTGCTAGAACGCTATACGACCTCGGTGGTATAGCGGTCTAGCACACCGCTTTACGACCGATGGTCGCGGGTTCGATTCCTCGCACAGCACAAACATTTGTATTCATGAGTATGATTGTTTGAATCGGTCTGGGTGTGTTCTATTTATAATATGTATGTATTTACAAAAAAAAATCTATGTATATTTATCAGTTATCTAGTACCCATAACAGAAGCTTTAGCTAGCTTAACTTGGGTCTAGATGGCGCTGTGTGAATTGTTTTGAGATTATTTACCTTCTACCCTCTGCTGCTCTTCAGTTTACCCGTGATCATTGCCGTTGAAACACTGCCGAAATATCGGGAACTCAACAAAAATAAAACATGGATCCCGTAAGATCCCGTGATTTACTAATTAGACTATCCTTCTTCTTAAAAAGGGGTAATCGGTTTAGAAAATTAGTTAGTTACGCGCTGGAGATGGAACAAAGAGGAACTTTGAATAAACGGCTTGCATATAGATTGACTGTTTTTATTATTGCCACCTGATTTCTTACACTAGTTCACAAAGAGTTGTGAACTAGTGTAAGATTTTAATTTTAAAAGTAGAGACTTTTAAAATTAAAAACTCCGAACGTCCAAATTTTAACTCCGAATGCCAACCTTGTTCGCAAACCATTTCCTCCCTTATCTGTACATTAAATCAGTTATTTCCATCTACCCCCATTTCGTATATCGCTACCAGTTATAATTTACCCTAATGGCTAGACCCGAATGCGTCAAGAGTTATTATTTTTTATTTTAGGGTACCACAAAATGGAATTTATTGTTGTTACTTATTTATAAAGATATATGTATCTCCAAAAAAAATCCACAACGGTTTCATGTTTTAATACTCCTTTTTACTTCGGATGATCGCAGGTTCGTTCTCAGCATAATATAAATATTTGTTCATATATGAATATATCTGCATGTATTGTTCTATATGGAGCTGTGTGAAGAATTTGGTGCGTTCAAAAAAATTATTGGAAAATAAAAAAACGCCCACTGATTTACTACTCCGATTAAACTGGTCGTGAGTTCGCTTCTGACCGGCGTAGTATCAAAAAACTTTGTGTTAATTTATATATCTCTGACTAACTCTCTGGTGTTAAAATATTGTCATCTATTTACTTCCGATGATCTGGGGTTCGATTCCTCGCACATGTGTAAATATTGTTTGTTGGTCTGGGTGTCTTCTATGTATGTATAATATGTAAAAAAATATATTTATGTTTTTTAATCAGTTGTAGTAACACAAGCTCTGCTTAGCTTAGGAATAGATGACGCTGTGTGAATTGTCCAGGAATATTATTATCATTACATAGTATAAAACTCGCTGTCGCTGTCTGTCCGTCCCTATGTATGCTTAAATCTTTAAAACTAAGCAACGGATTTTGAAGCGGTTTTTTTAATACATAGAGTGATTCAAGAGGAAGGTATGTTTAATACATGTACAGCGTGTGAAGCCGGGATGGGTAGGTAGTTATTAATACAAAACCAAATTAATCCAAGAGATGGCAGTTGAATATTAAATATATATATTACGAAGTATGGCTGTATTTGTTTACCACACCGTTAATATTTCAAAATACTACCTTATCTATACATATAAATAAAATTGGAGTGTCTGTTTGTAATATTGAAATAACCGTTTTTTACTACATGCATATGAATATAAATACGGTACATACACCAAAATTACATTTTTTACAATTTTTGTCTGTCTGTCTGTCGGTCTGTTTGTTCCGGCTAATCTCTGAAATGGCTGGACCGATTTTGACGGGACTTTTTTTGGTAGGTATCTAATGTAATAAGGAGTAACTTAGGCTACTTTTATTTTAGAATAATAAAGTTAAATTCCACGCAGACGAAGTCGCGGGAACAGCTAGTCTACAACAAATATTATGACCCGTATTTATTTCTGTATTTTGTCTTTTGTCAAAAAATGTTTTTCTATTTCTACCAGTTGTCTAGTAGCTGCCCATACTGCAAGCTCCGCTTACAGACCAGATAACACCGCCAGTTATATCCAGGGTTATTTATTATTTACTACCCACCGTCGCTTTGCTTCTGCAAAATATAGTACAATTACAGGAATGTTCTTTAAAATACATTTCCAGATACGAGACGTGCCTCTCCTATTGTAAAATAATTGTACTAGTGTTACCTATATCTGTACTAATATTTTAACGAGGAAAGATTCGATTTTTGTATGTTTTGTTGTAACTCAAACAATATTTGTCTGATTTTAAAAATTATTTTACTGCTCTGCTGTATAATAGTATATATAGCTGTATAATATTATAGAATAACATATAATATTAATAATTCTTTATTGCGCACAGACAAACAAAGAACAATAAAAAAAAAAGGTAAAAAGTTATACAAAAGGCGGTTTTATCACTAACAGCAATTTCTTACAGACAACCTGGTATTGACAGCCTGGGCAGATCACTTGTAAATATAATCTTCACGTAAAGGTAATTATTATTTATTTATTTGAGGCAACTATGCCCATATCATAAATATCTTATAGAGTAACATACATATGAAATAATATTTTAAAACAAATATATTGATCTTGTCTGTATGGTCAAGGCACTGACCACGGCAATCTGCCACGGTAGCGCCGATACACCAGCCCTTCGGCCCGTAGTCCTCTTTCATGAAGGTGAGCAGTCATAGGATATTGCAATATTGCAATAGGATGAATAGTGTAGCAACATGTGAACTACAAATATTACGACTATTATACCAGATGGGTAGTCAAAGTCATTGTGCAATGTCGACGTTGTTGTGAACACTAAAACACACAAACTGAACATGCTCATATTGCGCAGAATATATTTTGAATTCAACGTGATAGAAACGAGCCTACCACAGTTTCTCAGGTAAATCCGCGTTTGCCTAAATGAAAAGTCAATCAGAAATATAAATTTTATTTTTATTAACACGTCATAGTTTTTTTTTTGGTGTAGGTCAAATTTAAAGTCACGACATCATGGATGTTTTTATAAGTATTATTGTTTAATTATGTCACGATATTTTATAGTCTATTATAGTACTTATTAAGCCTAAAATAGACTAAATGCTGCCTGTTTTGTATAAGGTTAAAATACACATATATACATATATATAAAAGGTACGTTTTAATTTTCTATATTACGTTTGGAATAGAACATTCACGAAATCCTAATCCCAAACCTTTATAGCACCGAATATCTGAAACCAAACACTAGAATCGTCATTTCAATCTAATCACCACTGGACGAGCACTCGACCAAATTGAAGAGTACGTTCGTAAGAACACTTGATTGTAACGACAGTCGAGTGATGTAGAGCGAGTGCACTAACTTGACCGATTATTAGTGGTGGGATTTCAATAAGAAAACCGTAAGCAATAATCGTAAATCTAAAACTAAATGCTCGTCTCTTGTGATTGGGAAAAATCATCGTTTTTACAAACCGCAATTCCTTGACCTAATTTGTTTGTTTGTAGAGTATTGTAATTAACATTGGTAGTAGTGATGCATAACTAATATATGAACTCTATCAAGTCGTCTTCCTCGCGGTTTCTCTTTGAAACTATGCGGTTAATTACCATTCAATGGTTTCTTGTCAGTACATCTGCAACCGGAACGTTCATCTATACTTATAAGTAAAATTGGAGTGTCTGTTTGTAATATTGAAATAATCGGTTTTTACTACATGCACATGAATATAAATACGGTACATACATCAAAATAAGATTTTTTACAATTTTTGTCTGTCTGTCTATCTATCTGTTTATTCCGACTAATCTCTGAAATGGCTGAACCTATTTTGACGGGACTTTTTTTGCAGGTACCAAATAAGTAGAGTAGCTTAGGCTAGTTTCATTTTAGAAAAATAAAGTTAAATTTCACGCGGACGAAGTCGCAGGAACAGCTAGTAGAAATATAAATTGACATATAATTTGGTGTAGGCCAACATCGACCTTAAGACATTTTGGATCCCCAACGGGTTCTCTAAAAGAAACGTTGCTCATACCATTCGTTTTCCCGTCGTTGATAAAGATATACACTTCAGTGATAAGTTGTATTCTTATCGCTTATAATAGAATACATACTATCGGTCATAAAACTAAATCGCTTCTAATACTGGAGTAAAATCGGTTGGGTTTACGAAAAGCAACCGGGGACAATTCTTCATCGAGCGCCGTGGAGCCATTGTTTTTAATTGGTGCTTGGTTTTTGCGACGGTCCGCTGTTGCCCATTTTGGAGTAATGAAGTGTGTGCAAAGTTTATCGAGACGACTGTATCCGCTTCAGTAACTTTAGAGTTATAAAACGTTTTTGGTGTTTCCGTCACGAATTATTTGTCGGATTGAATTAATTCGTAAACTATATGGTGATCCAATAAAAGAAACTTTTAAATGTATTTACGTATATCAGAACTGATATTATAAATGGGAAGTGCCTTTACTTGTTTGTTAAACTTTACCATACTAACTACTCAACTACATTGTTTTTCTTTATTCCTGTTTAAAAATTTGAATATACTTTACCGTTAAGAATCTATTCATAATATCTAGTTACTTGAGTGCAGATACTGAAGGTATCATTAAGAATAAATTAATAAAAAAAATCATCAAATCATCAGAATACAAATATACTCATCATCACTCACACTCACAACTCATCTCGCCATCATCATCATATCTGAAATACTTACTTTAACGTACCATCGACAAGAATGAGTAATGAGTATAGCTGAAGAAAAACATTTAAAAAGAATAATAACCCCAGGTATCCCAATTATACCACAACTCAAATGTGCCAATACGTGTCTTTTCATATGGAATAAGATTAAATTAGGAATATTCTCTTACCAAATGCGCATCTCTAGTGGTGAATGTTACAGGATCACCCGAGTCGATAGCAGTGCAGGCGTACTCCAGTCGACCAGTGACTGTAATCAGCTTGCTTCCAGTTCTTGCAAGATCGATGAGGTTCAGACGTAGCGTGTCAGCTGAGAATTCCACCTAAAAACAACCAACTCTTAGACACTATGTTTCTCATTCGATTCGGAACCTTAACCGAGGTATCGACCGTCTTGGAAGTTAAATGAAAATTGACTTCTATATAGATAAAAATAGAATCCTGGTTATTACGTCATATACTGTGTAATTTAGTATAAATAAATACACTTTACGATTTTTTTTTCTGAGGACAAAAATGTTAAAACTCTATACACAATAATTTCATTGTCACATCACGGTCTTCAATTAGAAAGAAGAATGAGACAAAGAGACCCAAGCACTTCGTAAAACACCTTTCTACCTCTGGTATGTGCTGAACATTTGGCCCTCATGCAAAGCAGCACATTAATTATAAACATAGTCTGAATTTAACTATCAATATAGAATATAAAAAAATAGTCAAAGTTATGAATTACGCATTATAAAGGACTTCATTTTACGTTTGAAAAGTTGTATATTCTAACAGTTTCCCTGATCCTGTCAAACAGAGGTACTGTGAGCAGCAAAAATAAAATATTCTCGAAAATATCTAACAAATTATTTTATTTTGTGATCCAACTGAAGAAAATTCAACTCGTGATATTAAAAAATTAAAAATTCAATACCTGAAGGCTTAATCAACTCATACTTTCAGGGCACAGGAAATTCACAACAAAGTATTTCAAATTAAGATCGAACTCGAACATTGAGGGGCACTTTAAACTTTTGACTTTAGCCTCCACCTTTACCGAGACTCCTGGCAATAATTTAAAAGTTTAAGGTAAAAGAAAACAAACAGTTTCAGAATGTACAGATACTATGAAATTAATAATAACAGACTCCAACTTTTTCACAGTACAATTTCTATACAAAAGTACTCGCGCTAAATTGGAATCGTTTATTTTTGTCATTAGTCTTTTTTATGAAAGTTATTCAGTTAAATTAATACTATCACTGAGTTTAGACCATTGAATGCCTTTAACTTTTTAGCTACATATAATTCTTTATAAATATATACGCATATATTTAGTGTTTACTAATTTGTACATAGAATGCTATTATACAAATTCGCGCTAATAAAATAGCGCTAAATAAAATATAATACATATAAATTAAATTGGAGTGTCTGTTTGTAGTATTAAAATAACCATTTTTTACTACATGCATATGAATATAAATACGGTACATACACCAAAATAACATTTTTTACAATTATTGTCTGTCTGTCTGTTTGTTCCGGCTAATCTCTGAAATGGCTGGACTAATTTTGACGGTACTTTTATTGGCAGGTAGCTGATGTAACAAGGAGTAACTTAGGCTACTTTTATTTTAGAAAAATAAAGATTAATTCCACGCGGACGAAGTCGCGGGTGCAGCTAGTAGTATACTTAATATAATCTTAACTTTTAAAAGACAGCATAATCCAACCGTGTGGGTCCAGGAACAATAGCAGAGAGACGTGATATTATTATAGTTACCGATTAAGAAAAGTATAGTATTCTATCGAACAAAGGCTAAAAATAATATATGAACCTTCTTTAAGCATCCAATGAAGTTGTTGTGGACCCTTGCACCAGGTAAAGCCCTCGCATTCAACGAGCCTCCAACATGCGCTCTGGAACTCGCCAGCATTGTGAAGGAACCAGCTACGTGAGAATGTTCCAGATAGACATCATCTACCACGGCTGACACCTGTAAGGAGAAACACGTGTATAACATTTATTTAAAAATAATACGAGCTAGGTTTCTTGTCAGTTCTTCTAATCTCGAAATCATTGCGAACTGACGGTAGATTTGACATATCATAAGAGACTGTAATAGACCTACATGAATCAAGATATTTTGAATTTGAATTAAACAAAGATTAATTCAAAGAAAATAATCTTGTACTTTAACAATTTGCTATAGAATACACTTCATAAAGACTTTAATGAAAATGATTGGTGATAAGTGAATATGGTACTGAAGTGCCGATTACATCAGAAGCAATTCTGATGCGATGTGTAATAACAGAGTGATACGAAAAGAACAATTTTATATACATGCTGCAACATAAAGCATTTTTTATGATGATGGTCATCATAGGCTTGTGATGATTTTATGTTACAGCATGTATTGGCAAATAACCTAACGAAAGTGGTAACCATCACTTATTTACATGAATGAAGATGATGACGATGAAGATCCTCTTCAGAAGCTAATAGTATTACTATAGTCCAGATGACTAAATTGTCTTAGCCCGTATCTTGTAACACTGCTTTATGTTAAACTTCAATCAAAATACATCTTACTAACGAAGTTACTTGGCGTCTGAAATAAATAAGACCAAAATAACCACTCAAAGTTTTCTAGAGTTTCCAGTGTTAGACTGCTTTTAGCAACAGGCATATTATATAATTGATTTCCATTTCCACTACTGACGTTTTTCCTTATTTAAAATTTAAATTTGGAATATTCTATTATTACTTTAAAGAAGTACAGTAAAACTCTTCATATAACATCAGGGATATGCTTTGTTTGATCAGCGCAATATATCGTTCTTCTGAACAAAACCAAGCTCCACTCACAAGCGACAATGATCAACAAGAAGGATGACCGCTTAGCAAACTTGTGTCATAAGCGGACCAACTTTTATTATAAGCTAAATAACTTTTTTCATATCGGTCACGTCCAACACTTTGTGTAGAGGAATTTGTTCTTTTAAGTGTTACTCGTAAAGTATTTCGAGCGAACACGTTATGTTCCTTAATAGTTTTATTAGTACGGATCTTCGATAGGGTTTCTAGCCAAAATGAGCACACATTGTCCTATTATATTATATCACTATGTCATCAAATAGAGTAAAGAAAAACTACACAAATTATAAAAATGCTGTTACTTTTTGCAAGAATTGGCTTAACATTAAATCAATATTTGTAATATAATTTATTTTTAAATAATTAAGAAATGTAATTGCATGCCTCCTGAGTACATTTTTACATAAACACTTATAAAAACTGTAGAGTAAATATTTAAGCAAATAAATTATCTATCTATAATTCATACATCTATTCTGCACCAATGAACGATGTTAGTAGTCGATAACTCGATGGTCCAACAGTTTTGTATGTATTGTTCTTCTTGAATTCAATATATACTATGTACTTTAAATATAATAATAATTAAATAATATCCCTGGACAATTTACACAGCACCATCTAATTGCATTATGGGTACAAGACAATTGATACAAATATTTAAATATTATTTTTATGAATATACAAAATATACATAGAAAATAATTAGACTAATACAAACAATCATAATCGTGAATATAAATATTTGTATCGCACGATATAAGTAAAGCGGTGTACTAAACTCCTGCCAAGGCCATTTTATATATAAATATAAAATAAATATATTTAAGTATTTCCATTTTAGTACATATAGTAGGTTGACGAAAGTTACTAATTCGTTTTATGGAAATTGCGTAAGGTTTTACAACAAACTCCCAGAGTCTGTAGTCAATTTGCCAGTACAAACTCTGCTTAGTTTAGGATAGATTAGATTAGATTAGAATATTTTCTTGTAACGAAAAATTCATATAACGCCAATATGAATTTTTCGTTACAAGAAATTATTCACCATCATCTTAACACCCCGATAATAGAGAGATCTAACAAACTGCTACGTGAGATTAGATTGGAGTTAGGCCAACATGGTAACTCTAGAGATTGACTCAATAAATTAACTTAACAGAAAGAAACATAACGTTATAGTACTATTACAGAGGCGGTTAGAGGTGATGTCAGTAAAATTTGGAAATAGGGATTCCACGCAATAGGAAATATTAAAATCCTAGCTGTGCCCGCGGTTTTACACGCATAAAGGTGACAAACATCCATCCATCCATCTATCTATCCATACTCACAAACTTTCGTAATTATAATAAATATTACTTAACTAACTGTAAAGTTTCTTCAAAATCTCTTCAGTAGTTTCAACGTGAAAGAGTCACAAACATCCATCCACACTCACAAAGTTTCGCATTTATAATAGTGTTAAGATATTAAAACTAGCTGACACCACAAATATTGTTATGCTATATACCTAATCACCTTCTCAATATATTTATGAAAATATCATGTATGCCAGGAAGAATATAGATAGTTTCAAAAGAGTTAGTGATTGCACTAATAAAAGCTTACGTAACAATAACAAACTGATTTTACCTAAATGTCGGTTGGCTAAAGTTAGTAATTCGTTTTATGGCAATTGCGTAAGGTTTTACAATAAAATACCAGAGTCTGTTATAAATCTGCCAGAAAAAAGATTTAAATGTCAAATAAAACACATCCTTTGCAAAAAAGCTTACTATAAAATTGAAGAATTCGTTAACGATAATAATGTTTTTATACAAAAAACTTTAAATCCATAGCACTGATAATATTATCTGATTACACTAATAATGAGTGCGTAGCGATTTCTATGTTAATTATCGCATGCTTCTTTCTTGATATAATTACATTAATTATTTATATAAAAAAACGTCTATTAAAAAAAGCAACACACAAGTTTCTTGCTCATTCTTCTTGTGACGTATCTGCATTCCGAATGAGCGGTAGAATCAAAATATAACTATTCAAAAGTGCTTGTGATGGTTTTATTTGAATAAAGATTATTTCTATTTCTATTTCCTAAATCAATAGAGGAGTTAGTGGTGCCTGAAACACAAAGTATGTCACATGCATGTTGCAGACCCGTAAGAAACAATAAGACGAAGAAAACCTCAGCAAGTAGGTTATTCTACAATCTAAGTGTACAAGGAGGAAGCTCTTCTGAAACCGCACTGTCTGAGACCACTTAGGTTCCAGCATGTAGGGACGAATTAGTCGATGGCGAGCGGTACGATAGTAAAAAAGGTAGCTGTGGACATCATATCCAAATACTTCTTCGGTAAAATTCATACGTATTCGATGACTCAATTAATAATGAGTGTGCATGACAATAGTTGTTCATACACGGGATTTTCATTTAATGTTAGACATTAAAAGACACCTACAGCACACTATGTAAATAAACTATCTTTGAAACAAAGAAATTCAGTTGAGTTTCTTGCCAGTTCTTCTCAATTGAATCTGTATACTGAACTGGACGGTAAGGAAACAATATCATACAAAAAAATTTACGTTCAAAAGCGGCTCAAAATATCCTACATGAATAAATGATTTTTGATTTGTTTTGATTTAACTTTAAGTCCGACTAATGTACGAATAGATCTTCTTTTCTTATCAGAGCTCAATTGATACAACTTTTATATTGAGATAACAAACAAACACACTCATTGTTCCATTCCATCCAAGATAAAGGCCAGTAATTATTAGGCAGCTAATTGGACGCTCGAATTATTCATGCGGTCACAGACTGTTTTATTGTGGAGTAGTACAATATATGGCCGATGAATATTCATTTGGTATTTTAATGTGTGACAATTTTTATGCAGTATATTCCAAATGGTTAATGTTAATTCGAATTTGCACTACTTCTGTAAATATGTTGTTTATGGTTGGTCGGTGTCATATCTTCCCAAATAGCGTGGTTTAAATGATAAAAATTGAAAAAGGTTGCATTTTTTTATTAGTGGTTTGGGCTATTGTCAGTTGCTAAGACCTGTAGCACTGCGACCTGTATAGATTTATTGCGCTCGCCATTTTTCAAAGTTCTCTACCTACGAGTAGATCAGGGACAAGAGTTGAAGGATATTCTTAGGAGCGATGGTTTATATATCCTCAAGATAGAGCGAATACTATATGCTAGTTTATGCATTAGTGGGCTACAATCACATAGGATGTGTTCCTGATCTACTTGGCAAAATCTGCAGATTTTTGTTGAGCACAGGTCTAAAAGGGTGTAACTGAATGTAAAAATATGTCTATTTCATTGTTTCAATTATTCATATTGTATCCTTAATGTATGTCCGTTAACCCTCTGCATACATACACATACATACATACTTCTGCATACGTGTTTCTACGAAAATTTTTCACATTAGCTATTTAATCGATGATATTATGTCCACAAGATAAGGCAATAGAAGCAACATTTCTCACTAGTCAGACAAGTTTAAACAAGTTTTAGAATTAGACATAATTATGACACTCGATTTTCTGCAAAAAAAATGAACCTGTCATCTGATGAAGATATATCATGAAGACATCAGAAAGTTCCAGGAATACATGTTATTAATCAATTCTTCTTAGCTCGAAAGCACTCCGAATTGATAAGAGTCAATAAATATATTTTGATTTGATAAGCCGATAAAGTGATAAAGAATAACAAATGAACAATTTTTTTAACGACATTAGTTATAATAATAATAATCTCAAGACAATTCACACAGCGCCATCTAGACCCAAGTTAAGTTAACTAAAGCTTGTGTTATGGGTACTAGATAACTGATACAAATACATAAATATACTTTTTTCGTAACTACATACATATTATACATAGAAAACGCAGACCGACACAAACAATCATACTCATGAATACAAATGTTTGTGCGCGAGGAATCGAACCCGCGACCATCAGACGTAAAGCGGTGTGCTAAACCACTAGACCACCGAGATCGTCACCGAGTTGTGATATATATGTGTATATATATGTAGGTGACATGTCTACACATGTCACCTCTACTCAATAAATCTCATTTCACTCATATTAATTTCACTTCCTATTGAGCACCGCATATTGTAAAGTCTAGTATTGTCAGAGCCATCCATTATGGGTCTTTCTACTGGCTATTTTAAGCTAAAACGAAGGAAAAGAGACCTTACTGCTACAGCTTTAATTTTCAATTCACTTTGTACCGGTTATATGGATTATTACTAGATGAAATAGAGTTGTAGCACTGACGATTGCATATATGCAAAGGGAAAGCTTTCAGCCAGCGCTTGTTTTGGAAAGAAGTGTTGCATATAGAAGTGATAACTTTGAACAATATGCAAAGTAATATTTAAAGAAGAATTTGTTTTTTCATTTATTAATGAATAAATAACATGGATAATGATGGATTATTTTTTTTTATTATACAGAAATATACGAGTAACGTGAGACTGCATGCTATTACAAAAAAAAAAGATGCAATTATCTATTATTTATTATTATATATATATATACATAAATGTCATGAGGCTGATCTCCTCATGACATTTATGTATATATATGAGCATTATGTACACGCATAGTTTTATGAAAAAATATTTACTTTATATTTTTTTACTATTTTACTGTACTTATAATAATTCTGAGAATCATAAAGAACTTAAGCTCAGTAACAAAGGCAGCTTACGAAATACCGGTACCCAATACTTACCTGTAAGTTTGTAACAAAATTAATTGTCTTTCCAACACAATTAAATATTTCATTTATCAATAATCCATCATTTAAATAACGCGACGGCGTTGTAGTAAATAATTGTATATATATAATAATATAATATATATATAACTCAAAGGTGACTGACATAGTGATCTATCAACGCACAGCCCAAACCACTGGTCGGATCGGGCTGAAATTTGGCATGCAGGTAGATGTTATGACGTAGGTATTCGCTAAGAAAGGATTTTGATTAATTCTACCTCCAAGGGGATAAAATAGGGGATGAAAGTTCGTATGAAACTTTGTCAATTTTAAACCGATCGGGCTGAGACTTTGCATGCATAAAGCTACTATGACGTAGCCATTCCCTAAGAAAGGATTTTGATAAATTCCACCCCTAAGGGGATAAATTAACGCGAGCGAAGCCGCGGGCAAAAGCTAGCTTATATATAAATTTTAACTACCACTCAGTCTAGATTTGCTTGAAAGCAGTTATTTCAGGGTGGTCTATCAGTTTAGCACACCGCTTTACTTCCAAATGTGGCGGGTTCGATTCCTCGCACTGTGCAAACATTTGCATACATAATTGCGGATGCTTGTATCGGTCAGGGTATTGTCTTTGTATATTATGTATGTATTTATAAAAAAATGCATCTATATTTATATCAGTAGTTTATTATCCATAACATAAGCTCTGCTTAGCTTGGGACTAGATGTCGCTGTGTGCATTATCTTGAGATATTATTATAATTATAGAAACATTTTCAAAGTATAACAATTGTATGTTCAAAAGACAAGCAAAACAAATACTCACCCTACAAAAGCTGGTAAGCGGCGTTATCTGTAACAAACAATGTTATTTATTAGTATGAGTAACATATAAAAAAAAATGTTTTTATAGTATAGCTAAATTTTATTGTTCTTTCTTTACATAATATTCTCTGTATCATTAAATATACTATATTATCCTTCTTCTAATGTACCTACATATAAATTTTAGCGTGTAAGATCTAGTGGGGGGACCTAGTGACCCGTGGCACAGGTTCTTCGGATACCTAGTACAGGCACCAGTTCTCCACAAATCTGTATTTTTACATATTACATGCCTCAATGGCTCTGCAGCAATGGCTCTATATCGTGTATGATTTTTTTGTGGAGAAAAAAAAATATTATTATAGGAGACAATCGAGTTGGTGGCTCATCTGATGGTAAGTGATTACCTCTACTCATGAGCAGCCGCAACGCCAGAGGAATTACAAATATTGAGAAACTCTTTTTATATTAATATATTTAAAGTTTATTTTTTTGTATTCTCTAATCAAAAGCTATAAAACAAAATCCTATATATGTCACTTGATTGTCTCTACGACTACCATTAAAATATTTATCCAATTATAAATTGTATTACTACATATTTCTACGACAATAACTTCTTTTCTTGAAAGTTTCGATATTGCATCGGTAAATGTATCCGAGTTTTCCCAACTCTTATATAAATCTATATGATCCCGCTCTTGCAAATGGACTTCGAAATGACATTACGTATAACTACTTACAACAAGTAGGTACAGTTAAGTTAAAAATTAAATAAGTTGGTGAAATATTTTAGTTAACTAGAATATTAGTTAATAGTGTTTAAAGTCATATATAAATCTTCATTAATCTATACATATAAATAAAATTGGAGTGTCTGTTTGTAATATTTAAATAAACCGTTTTTTACTACCTGCATATGAATATAAATACGGTACCAAAATAACATTTTTTATAATATTTGTCTGTCTGTCTGTTTGTTCCGGCTAATCTCTGAAATGGCTGGACCGATTTTGACGGGACTTTTTTTGGCAGTAGCTGATGTAATAAGGAGTAACTTAGCCTAAGTTACTCCTTATTACATTACATTACTTTTATTTTAGAAAAATAAAGTTAAATTCCACGCGAAGTCGCGGGTACAGTTAGACTTTTATATAATTGCTCAGTATATTGTAGCTTAAGGTCTGACTTGGCTAGTTTACATATACAAATTATATTATAGCGTTCGCAAGTTCTAAACTTGTTAGTTGTTGGGTCTTATTTTATTATTCCGAAAATTTGGCTTGCTGGTAGAAACTAACCATTGAACGTACTAGCCAAGTCACATCTTAGGCTACAATATATTATCCTAAGTTATAAGAAGAAATTATATTTTATGTTGTTATAAATAAATTTCAGGACTGATCATTGAACTTGGAACCCATTTAGATCTATTAGGCACATTGATTTAAGATTAAAAGGGGCGGGATAGGTCCAACTATAATTAGTGATTAGTATATTAACATATTTAATTTTGGATATGTTTTTGCTACTATTGTTCTATTGTTTACTCTTCTGTATATTGTTTTATATTATATATGTTATTTAAATGTAGAGTGTATTAAATGTAATGTATTAAGAGACCGTATTAGGCACATTGATTTATGAATAAAAACTGTAATCCATCACATTTAAAATAAATAATCATGTTGCGAAGTTATACGTAATGTACAACTGTGAACAAAACAAGAATAAATTATATTTGCTGCTATATATATCCACTGAATATCTCCATCAAGAACTCACTTCTTTTGTTGTTGAAGTCAGCAACTAAGGCGTATATCGTAATATTGAACTTGGCTCTCATTTCACATTTATGTTTTCGATCGCTATACATATATCTATATGTATAGACGTCCTGGCTTCTGTCATACGGCTAATGCTAGTTCAGAAGCCAGGACTACACAGAAATACTGAAAGGTTTGATATTATCTTGAAAGTGTAGCTATTGTATAAATAATATTGTAACGATCCTTCTGAATTAAATGAAGATTATTATTATTATTATATACGAGTACTTATATAAATCAATACAACTTTCCCGTTAATATTTTATCAACTAACAAGGTCTCAATTCCATTTCACTGAGCAATATCAATTATATTAATTATTCGTCAAGATAATTTACTACTAGTCATTAATGCACCGGGTTGAAATTACATAGATATGTTATGGAATTTGCTGATTAATTGATAAATAATTACTATTGAGAACTAGTACAATAGTATATACAACATAGGTATAGAATAGAATAGAATAGAAAATCATTTATTCAAATAAACTTACATTGAAGCACTTTTGAATAGTCATCACATTTTTTTAATCTACCGCTCATTCGGAAAGCTGTCTCATCATATGTATGTATGTATATTAGGGGACATACATAAATTACGTGAGGTGTTTTTTTGAATTTGCTGGCCCTCCCCCAATGGTGAGATGTCGTGAGATTTTATTCAACCCTCTCCCCCATCCCCCAATCTCACGTGAGATTTTTCAAAATGTGGGTATCTTCCGTAAATGCGTTGTTTTGTTATTGTAAAAAGAAAAAAATAATTTGCTTCGTGCTTTTATTTACGACTAATTAAGACTAGTAATCAATATTGCTGAGAGTTATAAGTGTTTATAATCTGGATTAAATGGACCAAAATAGTACATTTTTTTTTGTTTCAATAATAAAAAATTGCGTGATATTTGCCGAGAATCCCCCTCTCTCCAACGTAAGATTAGATGAGATTTGACTCGACCCCCGTCCCTCTTAAATATCTCAGGTAATTTATGAACGCCCCCTTAGCGAATTAGCGAATTTACAGATTTATCGATAAGGTAGTTTTTATTACGTAAAAAGTGTAGAAAAAACAAAAAATATAAATATTTGAACAGAATGAAGAAAAAAAATATGTAAAAGTAACTAAAAAATAAGTAAAAAGATTCAAAAGCATTATTTTGACGGATTATGTGTTATATTGCGGAAGTTTATTTCATTACTTGATGGACTTGTAATTAGCAGTATGGGTGTAGACTCGACAACAGTCAGAATTTGATCACCAATATAGTCGTATCGTCGTATCGCTTCTCGTAGCGGTAGTCAGTTTTCGGCACTGAATATTTGTGGTCTCACACATGCTAATGGTAGCGGAATTGGCAATATGGGTGCAGATTCAATAACAGTCGGAATTTGATCACCAATATAGTAGTAGGTCGTATCGCTTCCAGTAACAGTAGTCAGGTATCCGCACTGAATATTTGTGGTCTCACACATGCTAATGGTAGCGGAATTGGTAATATGCGTTTAAACTCAATAACGGTCGGAATTTGATCACCAATATAGTAAGTCGAATCGCTTCCAGTAACGGTGGTCAGTTTTCCGCACTGAATATTTGTGGGATCACACATGCTAATGATAGCGGAATTGGTAATATGGCTGCAGATTCATTAACGATCGGAATTTGATCACCAATACAGAAAGTCGTAATACTTCCGGTAGTGGTAGGTGGTCAGGTATTCGGACTGAATATTTGTGGTCTCACAGGTGCCAATAATAACGGAATTGACAATATGGGTGTAGATTCAGTAAGGGTCGGAATTTGATCACCAATATAGTAAGTCGAATCGCTTCCAGTAACGGTGGTCAGTTTTCCGCACTGAACATTTGTGGGCTGCAGATTCATTAACGATCGGAATTTGATCACCAATACAGAAAGTCGTAATACTTCCGGTAGTGGTAGGTGGTCAGGTATTCGGACTGAATATTTGTGGTCTCACACATGCTAATCATAGCGGAATTGGCAATATTATTATAGATGTAGGCTCAATAACGAATAAAACTTGGTCTTACTGCTTGCAGTAGCGGTGGTCAGGTTTTCGCATTGAATATTTATAGTCTCATACATTCTAATAGCAGCGGATTTAAAAAAAAATACAAATCCATTAAGTAATTAAAAACATTCAATTTTCTGGAGAAAATAAACGAGTGTAGCAGAAAATTCTGCGTAATCTGTCAAAGGTATATTTTGACAGATTACTTAACATTTTCTGGTGGAACAAAAAATGAAAGAAATGCATAGTAAAATTACAAGAGAATATAAGACATAAATTTTAGTATTTAAATATAATATTGTTATGTAATTATATATTATAAATAACAACTTTATATTATGTAATTACTATTAGTTGGATTGTTTGCAGCTATTGTTGTTGCAATCTTTCAGCTAAAAAAATAATATCTAAAGAGAAATGTACAATGATATAAATAGGACTTATGTTACTGAATTGTTATAATCCTTACTAATATTATATATGCGAAAGTAGAAAAAGACTCTAAAAAAGTAGAAAGTCTGTCTGTCTCGTTTTCATGCCAGAACTACAGAACCGATTTAAATTAAATTTAGTACACAGACAGTCTAGACCCTGAGTAAGGTTATAGGCTGCTTTTTAATGCGAAATGTGGGTTGTAAGGGGTTCAAAGAGGAGATGATGAATCGTATGACAGTATCATAATTTTTAAAGCTAGAAGCTTGAAACTTATTTTTTATGCTGTTGATTAAATATAAATAAATATGACATTGAAAGTTTTATATGGAAAATTGTCATTTTTAAAGCCAAAACAAGCTAAGCTAAAAAGTTTCACCGTTTTATGAAACTTTTTCTTTGACTTTTTTGGATTAAATTATTGAATATATTTTCTTTATTTTGTCAAGATCACACTTACGAAGTCGCGAGAACAGCTATTATAAAATTTACCGTAAAATAAATAAAACAATTGACAATACAATCATTAAATTCAAATTTGTATAACGAATACAATAAATGTGGACATAAATATTTGAGTATCTATATGAGAGTGTGTGTGTAAGAATATAACGTTTTAACGTAACAACACATAAATCAATACAAAATTACACACAATTTCCATTATACAAGGACGAATATACAATCAATAATTTCTCGATTACGGTATTATATTAAAGCAATAAAATCAGTATGATTGAT